CAGGAAAATGCATTTAACCAAAATAGGTGAGCCCCAGTGTATGTGGAAGGTGGGGTATTCCAAGTTTAGATAGTTCTTTTTTTTCTAGGATACCACAGAGTGAAAAAAGGCAAATGCAATAGGATGTGGTAAGTGTGAGGCCAGCTGAGAATAAGGTGGTTCAGAAAGGCACCCACTCCAAGTAGGGGCAGAGTATGAAGCGACTTCTTAGGGGAGCCAGACCTTAAGGACAAGTAGGCTAAGGGTTGAGGTGGGCATTCCAGCCAGAAGCAGCAGTCAGCAGTACCAAAGCCAGGAGGAAAGAGATGGTTCACTTAGGAAAGGAAAGCAGTTTGATACAAATGCTGCATCCTGCCCCTGCTTGTTCCAACATCTGTGCTTTCTCACTGTTCTGCTCAGAGCATCTTCCCACAGACCTCTACGACTCCCACAGATCTTTTCAACATCTCCAGGTCTCTGCTCAAATACCCTGAGGCCATCAATGCTATGGCTAAGTTACCTGGCTTCCCTGACATAGGGATTTAAGAATTCATTGTGCTGGCTGGAGAGATGGCTCAGTGGTTAAGGGCACTGGCTGTTCTTTTAGAGGACCCGGGTTCAATTCTAGCACCCACATGGTGGCTAACAACCATCCTTAACTCCAGTTCCAGGGGATCTGATGCCCTCTTTTGATCTCCACAGGCATTGCACGACACAGGTGCACTTACATACATGTAGGCGTTATACCATACACATTAAGAAAAAAAAATTCATCTTGCCTAACTGCTCCTTGCTATGTCCAGGTGTACAATGCCAGCAGAAAAAGACACTGGATAGATGCCCACTGACAGAGCTCCAGCAGACTGTGTGTAGACTGTGATATGACTAACTCTAATGCAGGGTTCTGTTACTTTTTAACTTACTTGTGCTTAGGCAAACCAATTAACTTCACACCTTAGTTCCTTCCTTTGTAAGATGGGGAGGATAGTATATGATTTCATAAGACTATGACAGTTAAGTGAGTTATTTCAGATAATACACTCAGATCACAACCTAGTGCTATTAAACACTCAGTAAATGAAAGGTATTATTGTTAAAATGGCTTTGAGAAACTAGACATTATTTCAATTGCTTAGAAAAGGTGAAGCTTCCAATTTTAACATTCAGATGGCACTGGTAACTTCATGAGAAGCAACAGTCTGCTCTTCCAGCAGCTGGTAGCACACTACTCTACTCCCATCCAGCTTCATTCCCACAGTATATGGAATCCCGGCCTTCCTGCTTCTCAGAAATGCATACCCTGCTGACACAAACTCCACACTCAACTCAAATGCCAACCTCAGTATGGCATATTTAAGATGTAGAGGCCTTCTTAGCTTGCTGGTCTCCTTTGAAAGGTATTGGGGACCCCTACTGTGTAAAGTAGCAGTCTCTTCATGACCGGATAGCCCACGGGCTCGGCCTCATATGCAGAGATTCCTTTTTCAGAAGGGTGCCTTCCCGGCATCTTCCTGACTCATCTTTTGAAGCAGCCATCACAGAAACATGGCCTCCGGCTCAGGAACTGCCAGCTTTTTCCTGTGTGATTTTCAGGCAGTCTGGCAGCCTGTCAGGAGCCCACTTCCACATGTAAATAAGGCATCCTAAAAGTGCCTATCAGCTAAAGCTTTTTACCACTACCCCCACGATATAAAATATTCTGGTTTCCCCTCAATAATTGGAGCTGGATTACTAAGACTTGGAGCCAAGCTGAGTCACTGAATAAAGAGCTGTAACACGGACTAAGCTGAGTCCCGTGTCTTATTGCCTACGATCCAGTCTCTCCGGAGAAAGCTGTTTCTTCGTAAGCCACAACTCACGGAACCCTAGCTTTCGCCGTCCTGCACCTTCCGGCGTGATCCTGCAGCTGACGGATCTCGCATCTCGAGGAAGTGCACGGGTGAAATTAGGACGGGACCCGACCAGGCCAGCCCCGGTAGCAGAAGCCTCAGCAGCACGGAGAGCCAGGGGCCGCCAGCAGCGTGGAGATCCGGGACCCAAACTACAGATGCGGTGCGGGACCCGCCGCACTCCCAGGTGCACGCAGGAGACCTGCACCAAGTCGCACCCAGCGGCGCGAGGGAGACCAGCGCCACGCCCAGCAGCTGGCGCTCCCCGGAACCCCACACCCCCATAGAAAGGGGTGGCCTGCTCAGAGAGTGCAAGTGACTGGCTATAGGAACATAGGTCTTAAGATCGAAAGACAGTGACGAGGGGCTGGAGAGATGGCTGAGTGGTTAAGAGCACTAGCTGCTCTTGCTGAGGACCCAGGTTCGATTTCCAGCACTAACAGTGTGCTTAACAATCGTCCCTAATTCCAGTTCCAGGGGATCCGATGCATTCTTTGGGGCTGGAGAGATGCCTCAGTGGTTAAGAACACTGGTTGTTCTTGCAGAAGACCTGGGTTCGAATCCCAGCACCCACATGGCAGCTAACAACTGTCCGTGACTCCAGTTCCAGGGGATCCGACAGACTCTTCTGTCCTCTGTGGGCATTACACGACACAGGTGCACTTATCTACATGCAGGCAATATACACATACACATAAAAATAATATTAAAAAAAGCAAAAGACAACAAAAGACAGTTATGAAACCCATTGTCCCTTTCTGGGAGAAATTTAACAGTACTGAATAAAGAGCACTGTAACAGGAAGTAACAGGAAATGAAAGGCAGAAGGTGAGATGAGCATTACTACTCACTAACACCAAAACAATAACAAACAAACAAAACCCAAGCACCAATATACCCAGACAGTCTGGTCCATTTTGAAACTCATTTAGCTTCAATGATGTGTTTGTACATCTTCTCTGGTCTCTGAGCTTAGATGGAATATGGTGTCAGGAAGGAGAGACATCATTAACGGGAAAGCCTATGGGTTGTCCTGAGCACTACAGAAAAATAGGGTAGAGGCACCCATCAGCTCAATAAAGTGCCTCAACGAGAGGCATCAAGTTTGGAACAAGACCTAGAAACCAATGGAACAGAAGAACGTGCTGCACGCGACAGGCTGAGGGAGAAGCAGAGAAACAAAGGCTTTGTAAGGAGGAGTTCCCCATAGGAAGAGGACATTCTCAAAGCATGCTTTCTTGTCCTGGAGCTAATTCCTCTGAACTGGGAGGGAGGGGGGAGACTCCCAAGACTCAGGACGCTCAGGAAACTTGTAAACTCAGGCAGTTCAGTGACAAGGCCCACTGGCCCTCCTCTCCAAGGTTATATACAAACAATAAATGATTGGTGGGAGAGAATTTTGGTAGACCTGCCTGCAAGCTGTAGGGAGCGTCAGGGATGCACCTTTTATGACTTAGCACCCATTCTGGGCTGGGCTTTTTAGTAATGCAGTTGCCTGAGTCACCCAAGCTCCCATAGGAACCCTAATAAACTCACTGGTTCACCAAGCTAGACTTGGGTAAAATCATTTCATTCGTGACATTTGGGGTGAATGGACATGTGTTTATATCTACCTAGGAAGTCACAAAATATTTCCAAAGCCTTATGCTCAACATGAGTCAGGCCAGCAGCAGTTATCACCTGGGAGATGGTCAGAAATGAAGCTTCATTTTAACAAGATGCCCAGGGGATTCTCACACAGCTAAACCTGAGGAGCTCTGCACTAAAAAATGTGGACACTAACTGGGTGCACTGGCACACACCTTTAAATCCCAGCAATCAGGAAGCAGAGACAGGAAGATCTCTAAGATCAAAGCCAGCCTGATCTACATAAAGATTTCCAGGCCAGCTAGGGTTACAGGGAGACCCTGTCTCAAAACAAAACAACAAAAAAATGTGGGCCCTAAACCAGGTGCCCCTCAATCAGCTACTCTGAAAGGGGAAATAAAAGCAGATACTGGGCTAGGCATGGTGGTGTACTTTTAATACCAGCACCTGGGAGGCAGAGGCAGACAGATCTCTATGAGTTTGAGGCCAGCTTGGTCTACATGGCAAGTTCCAGGTCAGCCAGGACTACATATGGTTGTTAGCTGCCATGTGGGTTCTGGGACTTGAACCTGGGGCCTCTGTAAGAACAGTCAGTTCTCTTAGCCAGTCATCTCTCCAGCCCCAGATGGTGATTTTTTTGTTTTAGTTTTTAATTAATTAATTAATTAATTAATTAATTAATTAGTTTTTGGTCTTTTTGAGACAGGTCTCCCTGTAGCCCCAGCTGGCCTAGAACTCACTATGTAAACCAGGCTGGCCTTGAACTCACAGAGAT